ATAAAAATGATTTTCATTAAATAACACCTAATAACACCTCAAACAGCACAAAGTCGACTGATAAGTCGGCAGAAGAAGTCTAAAATCGACTTTAAAGTTAGACTTAATGTCAACTTATAGCCGATTAATAGTCGAAAATGCCCCAACTATAGTCGATTATAAGTCAGCCATATCAGTTGACTTAAGGTCGACTTTATGACAACTATAAGTCGACAGTAAAAAAAGTTTTACTTAGTTATGGCGACTAGATTGACTTTTAGCCGACAATAAGTCGATTATTAATTAATAAATAAGGCAACTTTTAGACAATATTCATAGCAGTATTAATAGTGATGTTATATAATAAAAAATTAAATGAAATTCTTTTTACAAAGTTTTATTATAAAATATAATACGTTTCAAATTTCAACATTAACATAAACTTTTACATTATGAAACTTACAAATAGATAGAGAAGACAGCACCAGAGAGCAGAAAATCGCAATCGCTCCTTCAAATCTGTTCTGTAAAAGCAAATTGAAAATTAAATAACAAATATTTTTTTTACATAGATATGAAAAGAACATGAAATTGTAGTACTTATTTATGAAAGAACTTACCTCTGAATAGAAAAGACAGCGTAAGCATCAGAGAACTAAAAATTGCAATCGTTCCTTCGAATTTGTTCTGTAAAAGCAGATTGAAAGTTAAATAGCAAATATTTTTTCACAGATATGAAAAAAACATGAAATTGTAATATTAATTTATGACAACGTTCATCAAAGAATAATAAAAAAGAATAATATTGCTTTATTAATTTTACAATTTTTTCAACGTAATCTTAAATTTTGAAAGGCACCAATTTTTTGAGAAATTAGCAAATATCCAGAAAAATATTTTAAAAATGTATTTTTAGTAACATCTTCTAAATCTATCTTTTAGTTTCTATTAATAATATCAAGAAAAAAACGAATTATCTTGGATTATATCGCTGATCACATCGAATCACGTTTTACTAATATCGCGCGTGGCCACATAACCTAATGTGAACGCCGGATAGAAATCGAACAAACTCAGAAAGAATTATACTATTGCTTGTTAATGCATTCCACTTAACGCTTGCAATATTGACTTGGCGTCAAATATAAATAAAAAAATTAGAATTCTTATATAATTTAATAACGCATCTGTATAATTAAAAATGACCATAACAAACCGATTTAACGTCGCCGTGTAAACGTAATAATTGTAAGACAAGTAAAGTCGACTTCAAGTCTGTGCGGAATTGAAACGCCGTTCGTTGGAATGACCCTCAACTGAGGATCCGATAGGTAATAGAATGACAAGAATTCTTGAGATAAATCACGCTAATTTAATAAGTCAGTTTTTGCCAGTGAAATGTACAGAATATAAAGTCTGACGGTGGCGTACACGTTGATAAAATAGAATAGATGTTCGCTAGGCAGATTGCACGCACAGGGTTGAATAGTTCGTACGAATTGCATGTGGTCACATGATTGGAGAATGCCGCAGCGTGATAAGAGAATGATCGCAAGCTCTTGATTGACCTTAACGAATGACGTGCTGCTTCGTTAAGCTAAGATACGCGCATTTGTCATTGAGAATTCACTCTTTGAGAATCGCAGTAAATATTCGCAATAAATATTCTTGTCGAGTTCGAGGCACTAGAATCTCGATGTGACGAGAGAGAATGTGAACTAGATATTCGCCACGATTCAAAATGCTTCACCGAAAAATCTCTCGCAACGACGATTTACGTAACATTATTACGAGACGAGTGAGATGACAAGTCTAATTTACGAGCTGAACTTACGAGTACAACAGCGATAGAAAACGACAAGAGCACTGAGTTTACGATACGAGCACAGTATACTTTCTAGTAGCAAGGATTATGGACGACTCGCAGAGAATTTTGGTAACGAGAACTTTTCGAGAATCTTGTGGGATCCGATCGATTTCGTCCTATCAGCGATTGCCACGACGAATCATGTGATTTTCGGCAATCGATAGCACACACATACGTTTCGATTGCGAAACAACGCCGCCCTTGAAGAGTGATAAGGCTGATAAGCATAATTATTTCCGCGTGATCGAGGTATCGACGGGCTACCTGGCGCTATCGATCGGATGATTTAGGGTAATCGATCGCCGCAGATCGTCACGTGCGCTTCGTGTGTTCCGCGTCTCGCTTTCAGGCGCGATTTATTTATAGCAATTTCGAACAAAATCGACTAAAAAAAGTTGACAATTAGTCGGCAAACGGTCATTTATGCTATATGGGACATGAGATCATTTGAATATTCTACACTCGTACTGAAAGTACTGTGGTCATACGTACTATTGCTTAATATATCAGAGAACATTCATATGACGTCTTGATGGTATATCATTTCGGGTGAGGTCCAATCGGACACATTGCCGATTGGTCGATTAAATAAAAAAATTTTTGATAGGTGGCACACTAGAAAATTCCTAGGCATCGGCTAATGTGAGTGGTGTGTCCGATTGAAAATGTGCCCATCTGGGACGCTCCCAAAAATGTCATAAATACGTCTTTTGGACATGCTTAGTGTCGGTCCACAATAGGTGATTTAAGTTTTTTAAGAAGTAAGGAATTGATCAATTATAATCGA